TCTGGCTGTGTTAACGGGGTGGCCGTATTAAAGGGGATCTTTAAATAACAAAATGACTGACTGAGCTTTTTTTCCTGCCGGAATAAAGTGGCCTTAATAACAAGGTGACCGTATCAACGGGGTGGTCCTAAAGCGGGGTTCCACTGTATCTACTATGCGTTTATTATTCCAATAAAAGAACGACGCTGCGTAGTAATTATTGGCCTCGGTATGTTTTAACCATCCTGTATTTTATTCCAGGCTGGATTCCACACCGTGGCTCTGTCCACACTTCGTGTGTTGGTTATGATGATTGGAGAGCTCGACTTCGGAGCAACCTTCGTGGATACATCTTCACACCAAAATCCGGCAAATCCATTCCCATCCGTAGCATACATTTTTCTCTTCTTGTGCTTGTTTTTGTTGAGCGTTGGACTGATGAATCTCTTGGTAAGAAAACATCCTGTACATATTATGATCCATTACGAAATCAAGCCAAATGTGCCAATTTGGGCAACTGCCACCGAAGGTGCACTTTACTAATAAAATGAATGTTTGAAACAATATGTAAATTGTTATTATCTGAAATTCTACGCTTTTAGTCTTAAAGATTTTATTAGTTTTGGGAGGAATATGACGTCATAAAATTAGCCCCAAATTTTGTTTTGGCAACGTGGGATAACAAATAACACTGAGCTTCTGAAATACCTTGCCACGAGGATCTTAAAACTAGTTTATTCTCTTCTAATACGTCCATTCGGTCAGGACATATAACATTTTGAAATTTGAGTTTCATTTTGTTATTAAAAGTATAACAAAATTTGAATGTTTGAAAAAATAATTGAAAAGTTGTAAGTTAACCAACTCTTTTCACTAGTATTAGCTAAAAATATACAAAGAGGCTAGAGGTTAATTAATTATGCACTTTAACTATCCCAACTTAATTTTTCCCATGTCCTCCTTCCGGTCAGGCTATACTTCGTGGCATTCGTGTTACTCGTGTTGCACTCACTCTCAGCCAATTACAACTTGGTATTATTTCAAATAAGTTATCATGTGTAGTACGTCTGGTCAGGAGTTCTTTTCCGGACGTCGGTCAACTGAGTTATCATTTCTGTACAGGTTGGTCTGGCCGTTGGAGATACCGAGAAAATGAAAAAGCTAGCTACAATCAAGAGACTTGCTCTGCAGATTAAGTATCATATTGAAATAGAAGAGTCGTATCCTGGTTTCATCACCCAAGCTGTTTACGAAGAGGTTTATGATGACAAGCCTAATAACCACTCCATACTTCTTAGGTAGGTGTCCACTATGAATACAGGCATGCACAGTGACTCGACATCTTGAATAGTTGACGTTCAGAACAAAGGCATTAGGAAACGTCCAGTACCTGGTATGATGCCTTACAACACGATTATTTGCAAGCTATTAAAAAAAACCATGACTATGATCGATGTCATGATGAAGGCACCCCTGTGTTCTCGTAATGTCTTTTTGCTTGTTTGTTTCTTTGTTTTGCTTTGTTTTGTTTTGTTTTTGTTTTTTTCTTTTTTCATTTTTCTTTCTTTGACGTTTTGCGCTCGTTTTCGTTTTGTTTCTGTGTATTTTGTAAGTCTTCCTCAGTGTCTATTTTGTTCGTTTTCTTTTGTAAATCAAACGTCATTATGACTTTCAACGGCTGTGATGTTCTTTCCCCACGAACTGCCAGAAAAGGAATAGCTAGTACTGGCCCAGAGGCAGTTTGGCGTGCGAGAAGAAGTAAACGCTTTAAAAACTTTCGGACGCCTTCAAGTCCGACCAGGCGTAGTTGAAAACTGTTGTTGCTATAGTTTTTCCTGCTTTCCCCTCGTCCCGCTCAGACTAATTGCCCTTGGGCCTCCAAACTGATGGGTCTTCCTTCAAGGTCATTTCTATCACGCAACGCCTTTTTACTATCATTTGCTAGTTTAGGATCAGCTACACTGATAATATTGCAGAAGACAACGAGAAGAAGAAAACAAAACTGAACCTTTATTAACAGCTTTAAACTCTGCACCTGGCTAAAACAATTAGTAACAATAGTCTGTTCTATAGTAATTCCTGAAATCTGGTTGGTTCGCTTATCGGTTACTATATATATATTCAAACTGATGGAGTGCCTTTGCCAAAGTTCAGTATCATGGTAACAGTTGTTCTTCGAAATTGCATGTTATTGTTTGTTGTTACTTGGACTAAGGAGACTATAGCTCCCTCGTTGCATGTTAGCCATAGTCCCCCCTTGATAAATTCGGTCTCTCAGCCTATTCCAGAATTTCTTATGGTGCTGCCAACTTCCCAACCAGAATATCAATCCTTTTTGCTTTGCCTCACAGAGTGATGGAATGGCTACAAGCACGATATGCTGAAGGCCCTCTAGAACCATTGGCTGAAGAAAGCAAATCGGCTGAATTCATTGAGCTACGAGAGGAGATGATGAAGAACAAGAAAAGGAGCAAAGCAGTTGTGACTATGTTGGAGGCACAGAACAAGTTACTCAGAAGCCTAGCACTATCAATTAACCCTAATTTTCAGCTGCCAGAAGGTATCGAGAGAGCTAGCTGGACTGCAGATTGTACAGATGATATAGATGGAATGCATCGATCGTCCCTTGAGGTTGTGGAGGAGCTGAACGAAGAGCCCACAGATGAGAATGCTTCAGATGCTCTTTTTGAGGATGACTCGTAGAAGCAGCATTCATGCGAGCGACGGAGCAGTCTCGCTGCAGCACTTCTTATACGTAGTCAAATTACTCGTCAGCTGACACCCCTTGAGCCAGAAATAGTGTTTAATTGGGAGAGACGTTCCGAGGGGGACTCCCAAAACAAAAAGGACGGGGCTGCTTGTCGGAAATTCTGAAAACAACCCGAGAGAAGTACCAAGATCTTGCTTTGTGGGTGTGGTTTGAGATTTGTTTTACATCCAAGAGGTACTAATTCTAAAACAACACGTTTTTACTTCTGCTCAATACCCTAAAAGGCACCACAAAAGCTCCCGTTGTGGATCTTTTGTGGCTGAACACCTTAAGAGGTACCAAAATCACCTTTTATTACTCCTGAAAGGTACGACGATCACCCCCGACCTTTTTATATAGGAATAAACCTCCCNCCCCCCCCCCCAACTCCGGGAGAAGCGTCCGCTCAAGGAATCTTAAAAGTAAAGTAGTGTTAGAATGTAATGCATTAGTATGTGTGTGGAGAAAAAGGTTGAAGTTTCAGCATTATTGAGTAAATCCTTTTCAAAATTGGAAAAGGTCTTAGAGAAGGAGTGGCATCCACCCACGTCTCGTAAAAAAAGGACTATTACAATAGATTATTAGGTTTATCATGATAGTGCTAAGCATGTAATACGGTAAAATTAGCAGCGATGATGACCTGGAGACAGACAACGGCCTCTGTAGCCCGTGCTATTTTTAAAAAGTTGCACGTAAGCAATAACTGAAGTCGCATTTTGATTTCTTGCATTGTAGGAAGAAACATGACGTACTAATTCAAATTATCTTAAATGAAGACATCGAACGGTATTTGTAAATGACCAAGGTTAAGTGCGAGATCAGTTTCAAACAGAACTTGGAATTTTTCTGTCATGTATCATGGAAGTGGTCGCGCGATACACTATTCTTTCTGTTGCGCAACAACTAAGGTCGAACTGAATTTCCCTGACCAGAATAAGCATATATGGTATTATAGGTTGTTGTTGTTGAATGTTCAAATGTTGTTGTTTATAGTGGTCAATGCGCTTAGCTACACCTAGCTAGTTCACAGGCATGCCACTTTAAATGAAAAAAACAAATATATCAACTAAACGTAATACGCTTAAAAATCCCAAACGGCGGGAGGCAGACCAATTGGCTATTTACAAGCATGACCGAGGAGTTGAACTAGGGTCTACCGAGAAACAACCCAACTAAGTAGTCAGAGCGGGACTTGAACCCGCGACCTTCGGATTTCAAGTCCGGCGCCCTAACCACTCGGCCACGCTGCCTCCACCTTATAACAGTTAAATAACAGGTTAATAACAGTCGGAATGAGTATAGTTGGAAGATTATGATTCTTACGCGCTTAGGTTATGAAATTTGCTCGTAAACATCTTAGTGAATACAAACCAGTAGTTCTCGCCTAGAAAACAATAAATGCCCTATCTAAAAGCAGTTCTTTCTAGTTCTTTTTTCTTTTAATGAGGTGCTGGGTGGTGGCAAAGTAGACCTGGTCGAGGATACATCGAGATTACTTCATGGAGAATGCGAGAGTAGTTGAGTAATATCGAAAAAAAAAACCAGCTGGTGACCCCGGCGAATGGCTGAGTTTTCTGATATACCCCAACGAGTAAACAAATTATACGTAACACTCCCTCATCACCAGACCGCTCTCGGCTCGTCCCGCTTGCCCTAGACTACACTCGGCTAGCTCGCACTAAACCTAAGCGGGAGCCTGTTCGCAGGGTGAAATGGATCAAAAAAGATACCCGTTATCGCCCAGGATCCAGTATTTTATCAGGGATAAAGAGAAGTTAAAAGCCAAAGTTATTACGCCAAGTCGCCTTACGTAGTTGCGCGTTTATACGCCTGCATCAGCAAAACATAAATTTGCACCCTTAAAGTCAGAAACTCCAACCGCACGCCGGTACGCCGCAAAAATTGAAAGGCCACCCCGAAGATCGTCGGCGTAACCTACACTGAATAATGTAACCTGGCACTTACCTTTTCAGCTACGAAGTTGTTTCATCTAGTGATTGATCAGAAAGAACGAAGCATAAAGCTTCGTATCCAAAACAAAACCGAAACGTAAAAAAAGAATTTAGCGAGTGCGCCATACGGACGGGAAATCGACAGGAGAAATAAGGAGCCTGCCTTTTCAATACTTGAGAATTTTTTTCTATGCCTACATTTCCCCTTATAAGACGGAACAAGGCATACTTCTTGAAATTTCCTCGGCCACACGTTTTCTCCAGCAAATGGCACTCTTACTGCTGGAATTTAACAAGTGTCAATAAAGTATCGGTCAATCGTCGACGAAGCAGTCACCCTGGCTCAGCCTTTAGCCTGTTCCAGCTATCATTCGGTAAGTCGGGGACGAGTGAAAAAAGTAGTTAAGTTCCCCTTTCGCTCGCCTCCACAATGACAAAACGAGAGCCAGAGTTAACTTCTCCGGTTGGCAAAAGTTATATTCCCTGAACACACACACACACACTAAGGGTGCGTTCCTTTGGGGTGATCTGGACCAGGATCAGTGATCCAAGATCACTCGGATCATAGTTCATCAAAGGAGCCGATGAATCCGTGACCAGAGTGGATTCATCGGTTCCTTTAATGCATCATGATCCGAGTGATCTTGGATCACTGATCCTGATCCAGATCATCCCAATCGAACGCACGCTAATAATGAATGGATGTCGAGCTAAACTCACAAGTTTTTATACTTAAGTAAATCTTAGAAAGTTCCAGAAGCGTCTATGCATATATTTGGCTTTGCGGGATAATGCAGACGTTCGACTAAGTATCAAACACTCTACATTACGACTATACCTGAAAGGTGAGAGAATGAATAGACTTACATAAACTGATTATGTAACATCTCCCCTCTAATTGAAAATAGCTTAAGGCCTTAACTGAGATGCTGAAACTAATTAATTGTCTCTATAAGTCTTCTAGGACTTGTAATCACACGTCTTGGTCGTTCGCTGCTACTGCTGTAGTCGCGCTTTACACTCTCGGCAGGTATCGGAACAGTCTCCTGAGCTGGACGAATGAAGCGACGATTTCTTGCTAACTGGGTTCCATTAGTAGTTTCGACATTGTACGATCTCGGTTGAGACGCTACTGGCGTTTTGGTAACGGTTGCTGGAGTCCATTGGTTACACTGGGGGTGAACTTGTACGTACACTCTCTGATTCTGTGGCAGTGAAGGTAGATCTCTTACAGTCTTGTTATAGTGCTCGAGCATTTCGTCCTTGTCTTTCACCATTTGTTCTCGGACGATCTGGCAATGGGGATTCTGGATAGGGGATCTGGTTGGAGGTAATGCTCTTAACTTTCGTCCATTCAAAAGCTCTGCAGGTGACGGTATGCTTGTGGTAAGTGGTGTGGCTCTGTAGATCAACATAGCTAAGTTTGGATCACGTCCTATGGCTGGACACTTTCTCATGCACTGCTTGACCGTCTGAACCATACGTTCAATGAAGCCATTACTCTGCGGGTAACGAGGGCTAGACGTGATGTGGTCAAATCGGTACTGGTTTGCAAAGGCTAAAACTTCCTTTGACGAGAATGGGGGCCATTGTCTGTCATAATGGTGTGAGGTATTCCATATTCGCTAAACACTGCTCCAGAATCTCGGTGGTAGCGCTTGCGGTGGTGCTCCGTACTTTTCTGATCACAGGAAACCTACTGTAGTAGTCTGCTATCAGGAGATAGGTGGCAGACTGAAACTCGAAGAAATCAATTCCTAACTTCTTCCAAGGTCCTTGAGGAACTTCATGGGGCAACATGCTGGCTCCTCGAGAACGTCTGGCACACTTCACAGGTCGGGCTGTCCGTAGTAAATCTGAGGTTATTCCTGGCCAGAATACTGCTTCTCGGGCTCGCAGCTGCGTCTTCTCAAAACCAAAATGACCTTCGTGGATGGTTTGGGGGACTCTGTTACACAGTTTCTCAGGAACTATGAGTCTATGGCCTTTGAACAATTCCCACACTTGAAGCACTTTGCCTTCTTTGCGAGACACTCCCTTTTGGGATGTGACGGTTTCGCTTCACAGTTGAAACAACTTTCTCTTTTGGACTTTTGGACATTTTTTTTATTTACTTATTTATTTATTTCCACACTAACAGACCGAAAAAAAAATACTTACAATGCAAAATAGTTACAACACAATGCTTACATTCCCTACATCAGTAATAGTTACACGAAGCATCCTACATACAACTACGTTACATTCCTTACTTTACACTACTTACACCGCAGTTACAGTACAACATTTACCTACTGTTTACTTGGTTATACTTACGTCACTTACATTTCGGTACTTTTTCTTCTCCCCCTATTGTATATGATATTATTTGACCAAAAGTAACCCCTTTTATAGCTTCTACAACAACGTCTTTGATTTCTAGTTTACTTTGAAAGAAAAAAAGAACCGCTAATAATTTCACATTACTTATATTTCTACCAAAAGATAATGCTATATATTACAATTGTTTTTTCTGTTGTTGTTGTTGGTTTTTTTTTTTGAATGAGATTAAATTTCGATAAACATTTCAAAATAAAAATGAGCGACAGAAATTTTACACAACGTTTCGATGTCGTCATGACATCATTATCAAGTCACAAGAAAATAACGGTTCAACAGTGTTATATATGCGGTGAGAGGTATGATTGTTCATTAACATATTTGGTTAAACAAATAGTTTCGCGTTGATGGAATCCGATTGCGTGTTCAGGCTAGGTTTCTTCTTTCCAATAAACAGCATTTCGTAAATCAAACAATCCAGTTTTCCGTTGCATTTCTTTAGGACGGAAAAATTATTGGCAAGGTCGTCGATGTTATTAAGGCCGTGATCGTTCTTTAAATGCTTTCCAATTGTGGAGAACCTGTGTTCATCAATACGTTGGTGCAAATGCCGGCTGGTATACCCGACATACTCTACATCCCACAGATCACATTGGTAATTGTACACTACGCA